AAAAATACATTTTTATTGATTTCAGAGAAGAAGGAAGAGAATGAGAGATAGAAACGTCAGAGAGAATCATTGATCGGCTGCCTCCTGCACGCCCCACACTGGGGATTAAGCCCACAACCCGGGCATGTGCCTTGACCTCCTGGTTCATAGGTCAATGCTCAACCACTGAACCATACCTGCGGGCAATTCTTTGATAGATCTAATAGTTGTTGACTTTCAGTTTTTCAGCTATTTTTTTGAACAGGAATGATCACTTCCAAGCTCTTTACATGTTAATCTGGAAACTGGAAGTTGTATTTTTCTTATTGGTTTAGGAGCTCTTTATGTATTAGGGAAATTAGTTCCTTATCTTTACATGAGATGCACATTTTTATATTTTGTCATTTATCTTTTGAATTTATGTTGTCCTCCCAGGCAGTTAAATAAATGTTTGTGTGTATTTGAATTTACCATTTTCTTTTAGGCATTTGAAGTCTGTAATGCAATTACAGGTATATCTAGTTTTACTCTGCTGTGCTCTATTGTGTTCCTCACATATTGTGTAGTTTATGAATTGAAGGTAAGACCCTCCACCAGCAAAAACATTAGGACCCACTGAAGGCTCAGAGGGTGGTTAGCATTTTTTAGCAATAATTATTTTTAATTAAGGTATGTACATTGTTTTTTAGACATAATGCTATTGCACACTTAATAGACTATAGTGTAGTGTAAATGTAACCTTTATAGGCCCTGGGAAACTAAAAGTTCGCATGACTCACTTTATTGTGGTATCCTGGAACCGAATCTGCAGTATCTCTGAGGTATGCCTGTAGTAAGGCCTTCACAACTCAGATTATAAAGGAATTCTTTTATTGTTTCTTTTAGTACTTATTATTTATTTTTATAGCTAAATATTTGGTCCATTTACATTTTATCCTCAAGTAAAGTGTGAAGATTAGGTACTACTTTTCTTCCCAGTTGTCTAGTCAGTTGTTTCAAAACCATTTACTTAGTTGTTCATTTTCCCCCCATTGATTGATTATCATTATTAAATTTCAATATGTATTGGGGTTTATTTCTGTAATTTTATTCTGTTATTGCTTTATCTCTTTTTCATATGCTAATATGAATAATTCATACAGTGATACCACTGTTTTAATTGTGATAGCTCCACAATGTTTAAAAATAATCTATGGCTAGTTACCCCTTTATTTTTCTTGTCAATTTCAAACATTTTTTGGTCAATTTAATTATATAAAATTTAGCATTAGTGTTTCTAATTTAAAAACTTGTTGGTACTTTTATTGTAACCATGTTAAGCTTTTATGTTAATTTAGAAATGAATGCATATTTATGAAATGAGTTCTTTAAAATCTAAAAACATTATATACCCTTCTGTTCGTTCCAAGTTTCCCTTTGTGTCCCCTAGAGAGCTTAAAATACATTTCTTCATGTAGATCTTGCACATTTTTGTTCCTAGGAATCTTATCTTTTCTTCTTTCCCCTGTTGTAACTGGTGTCTTTATTTCTTCATTATGTTTCTTAACTGGTTGTTTATATATGCATATAATTTATTTATATCTATATATTTATTTTTTTGAAACATGCTATTTATAAAAATTTAAAAGTATATGCTTATTATAATATAGGGCAGTGCTGCACAGTGGGGGTCTGAGGTCTATGAACTTGGCTGCACCATTGATTAGCCCTGTGGCAGTAGACAAGGTACTTAATCTTTATAAGCCAGTTTTCTCATGTATCAAATGGGATAATAATAGTACCTACCTCATAAGGAACTTTTGAGGATTGAAAAGAAAAAGCACAAAGACACTTAGAAGGGTTTCTGGAATGTAGTGAGCAGTTCTGTGCTCTTACATTGAAGCTTAAATCTAGTGCATGGGAGTCAGATGGAGAACAGATGTCAAACTTCCCAACCAGTCCCCTCCAGCCACAGTCCTCACTTTCTAAACAGTGCTGGACTGAACTGAGGGCTGCAGAGTGGGTGGGGGAATTAGGGGAATGGAGACATAAGGCTAGAGACCCAATTACACCTTGTTGTAGGAAAGGAATAAAATGATTTGGTGATTTGCATTTGGGGTGTCCAAGGAAATTGGAGGAGTAGATACATGTTAATGAATGAAACAGTGGAAGTGAACAGAGCACTTTTCAAATTGCCACCTTAAATTGAAAGGGTCTTGATAGCTTATAGGCCATTTAAACATACTTGTATCATAAACCCATCTTGGCAGCAGCTCACTCGGTCTGTGAGAAACTTGAAATCACACGGAGTAAATGGGTATTGGGGAAGCCAGGTCCAGATCTGCTGATGTATGCTGATGCTCATTCCTCTTCATTTCTCTTTCCTTGTCATTTATTCCCATCTGAGTCTAAGTACTAAATTGTCAGCAGAAAAAACAGCGGACAAACTGGAAGAAGGGGAAACAAGAAGGATTAAAATATTTTGAGAGGAGAGAGCCTAAGAGAGCTTGGGAGCTGCAATAAAGAATAGTATTTGCTGAATATACTATGTGCAGAAACTCCTGGGAACTATGTTAGGAATAATATGATAACAGCAACCATGTCTTAAGTGTCTATTGTGTGCTGCCTGTTTTATGTGCATTTTTTCTTTTATTTTTAATCTTCCAAGGCAGGTGTTATTATGCCAATTACACCACGTGTCTTTAGAAAGCCAGGCCTCAGTCTTCTTGGAGCTTAACATCAATATACTAATTAAAGAATACTTGTAAAACACACCTACAGGCCTGGACATAGGAGCTCCTGATCATGGCAGAGCTGGGAGGGAATTATGAAGAAGTCAGCCATAGCCAATGGGGTGAGCTTCCAAGAAATGTGATGTGAGCAATGAAAGGAGGGACTTTGTTTTTATATGTGTAATAGGAAAGGAGGGAAAGAAACAGGATGGGTAAGTTAATGGGCAAGGAAGCAAGGAAGTCTTCCTGCAGCTGCAGTTAGGAATGCGGATGGAGTGTGGACTAAGCCAACTGCAGTGGAAAGGGATGCCCAGAGGAGGCTGCCTTTAAGTAGGAAAATGCTCCATCAGCTACTTAGCCTGTTCTCCCATTGCTGCATTGCTTTTTAAAGTGACAGTCACGAGGCTTCAGAATTCTTAAGTGGAAATGGTCTGGGCTCATCATTGGCCGACAGTCTAAAATCAGTTCTAAAGAATGTGGTGGGAGACAGCTGGTGGAAATTGCCCGTCCTTCCTTCAGTGGAAATGTCCACGTGCTGCTCGGTTGTCTCCTGATCAAGCGTCTCCCCCTCTCCATCTCTCTTGTCTGCCTGTGTCTCTTCCTAAGTCAGGTTTCATAAAAAAAAGTAATCACCCGGTTCATTGTACCCAAGTGGTCCAGGCATACCCCTGCTTAACCCAGAGCTGCTGGCTGCCCGAGATGAATGCAGGCTACGCGGATGGTTTATGAGAAGTGACACTTGCTTCCCAGCTTCTTGTATTCGCCACCGAGCAGTTAATGTGAAAGCCCACAGTGGACGTGACTGCTGGAAATACTGCGGGGCAGGGCAGGGCGCTGGTGCTTCATGAGCACGTGAGCAGGACATTCAGAGGCAGCCCGAGACACCCCATGATCCGGGACTGCGGCAAATGGGTGTGGGAATGGAAAGAAGGGAGGGTCACTTCGTCCCTGTCCTTGCTTCTCATCCGCCCCAGCATGTCGTCCTCGCGGGGGCAGGGTGAGGTCGCCCGAGAATCTGCAAATTCATCGCTGCCTTTCATCTCCCATAACCTTCCGTCCTGAGGAGGACAGCCTGGCCCTTCCCCTCCAGCTCAAAGCTGCTGCTAAGGCGGGTCTGACTTCTCCCCTAAAAAGGCTCCGATTCCCCTTCCCGCCGCAGGGGTCCAGTCTTGGCTTAGACTTCGCTTCTCACTGCTCGCCCTGCTGTCTGGGGCTGCGCGCAAGTCTCGCCAAGTTTCCCCATCCAGACCCGAGAGACTGCTCCTTTCTAGGACAATGTGAACAAAGAGGAGCAGGGAGAGGGGCCCGCGGGCGGTTGCGGGGTGAATGTGAGTGTGTGGTGGGGAACCTCCTCCGGGACCCGTGCAGAGCGCACCTAGCCTGGCACCGCAGTGCCCCTTGTGGCTCCGGGCGGCGGGTTGCTTTGTCCCGGCCCGGCAGGGCGCGGAGGCCGTGGGTCGCGAGCAGAAACCCGAGGCCGGCTCTGGAGCCCAGGCTTCCACGTTGTCTCGCGGCCGTAGTGGGGACACTGGACTTGCTTCTCCTTATCCGAGCTCGCCCTGAGTAGCTTGGTCTGGGGACAGAAGGACCCACTGGAGCGCTCCCCTCCCTGACTCTCCGCGGACGCGCGCAGGTCCAATTCCGGGACCGAGGCGCGTCTTGGGCGCCCCCGCCGCCTGCGTCGCAGCCCCCGGGACCGCGCGGGTAGGACCTGAACAGCGCCCACCGGAGATGCCCGCCGGAAAGGCCGTTCAAAACCGACTCTGAGGCCCCACCTGCGTGTGTGCGTGTGTGTGTGCGTGTGTGCGCGTAATAGGGGTTGGGGGTCTCGTCCGCTCGCCCTTCTCACCTGCATTACTGTTTGCCTGGCAGAGGATTGAAGGAGAAACTGCTATGTCAATTCAATGTCGTTAAATCAGCACCCATCCCTCCAAACTCTATCAACTAAGTTGTATTTTTCATGTATCATTAGAGTCCACGCGAAACTACTTTCCCACTCCTGCCTGAACCTTCATCACTGCGCCGAGCCAGGTTTCGGGGTCCAGGCTCCAGTTCCGCAGGAGAACTTAGAGTCTCAGGACTTGCATCCCCTGCCTCTCTCTGGGCGTCTTTGTAACGCGGGGTGGTCCCGGTGGTCGCGCCCGTGTGGCTGCGCTGGGCCTGCCACTGCGCGTCGGGAAAGGGCAGGCGCTAGGACCACGGGACGCGCGGGCAGCACGGCGCTACCTTAAACCCGGCCCAATGCCGCCGCTGCGCCACTCTGCGCGCCGGCCGGGCTGCGCAGGAGGAGCGCTCCGCCCGTCACCAGGCTGGAGCCCGCGCGGCAACACCTGTTCGCGGCCGCAGGGCGCACGCGATCTGTGGACACGGCTCTCTCGCTCGCCTCCGGCCGTCTGCGCTGAACCAATGGACCTCCGCCGAGCCGCCGCACGATTCCGGATTCCAGTTTTGGACGCCTAAAGTTTTTGGTTTTTGTTTTATTATATTATTATTATTATTGTTTTGTTTTGGAGGGGGGATCGGGAGGGGAGAGTCTTCAACGCCACCAACGTGAGATTCCACCCCCCCACCCCCCACCCCCCACCCCCGCTCTGGAAGGATTCCTGCTGATGTCTGCATAGTCGGTTAGAGTAAAAACGGCGCATGCCTTCCCCGGAGTCAGGACCCGTGGATTCTGACGTAGCCCGTGCATCTTAAAATCCTATAATAACGCCTAGGCATTGAAGTTGCCATGGCCATTCCGATCTGGAACCAAATGGAGAAACTACGAAATTTCTTCCATACGACCGCCGGCTGGGATGCAGACCTTCCTGCCTGCTAGGAGCCGGGGCTCTGCCCATAGAGATGCATAGATGTGTTTATCAGTGTGTCGGCGTGTGAGTATACAGCGCTGGTTTCTTTAGGCTATTAGTGGTTTGACCTTGAACCTGTACCAGTGAAACGGCAGATTACTTTTATTTATGTATTTCATGGATTGAAGAAAATAACGTGTTTTTTCCCCCCTCTCTGCAACCGCAGTAAGGGAGGGGAGTTGAATATACCTCGCCTAAGATTTCCCGGGTTGGCACCATCATTATTGTTTATCCCTGTGCTCCAACAGCCCAGCCTTCTGATGGCTCCCTTAGGTGAAGTTGGGAACTATTTCGGTGTGCAGGATGCAGTACCGTTTGGGAATGTGCCCGTGTTGCCGGTGGACAGCCCGGTTTTGCTAAGTGACCACCTGGGTCAGTCCGAAGCAGGGGGGCTTCCCCGGGGACCTGCAGTCACGGATTTGGATCATTTAAAGGGGATTCTCAGGCGAAGGCAGCTCTACTGCAGGACTGGATTTCACTTGGAAATCTTCCCCAATGGTACTATCCAAGGAACCAGGAAAGACCACAGCCGATTCGGTAGGTATACCATTAACATTCTCGTGTCCGCGCCGTTACACGTTGGGATTATAACTACCAAGAAGGGTTGGTGGCCGGGCGGGGGGCAGGAAGGGTCTCTCCCTCTTTCTGCTTCTGTTTTGCCAGCTAAAATAAAATAAAATAAAATAAAAGCCCCCGGAATTGCTTGTCTGCCACTGGCACCTATGCAAGTCTACATTGAAAGGCTTTAAATTAAAAAAAATTTTTTTTTTTAAAGAAGGGCATTATTTATAAATATCACATAAGCTCCTCATTCCTTTGAATCAGATACTCAGGAAGATCAGGTTTAGGAATTTGTTTGTTTTTGTTTTGGATGGACCAATCCCAGGAGTTTAAAGCTTTAATCATTAACTACTGAGAACTTAAAAACGCATTTCCTGAAGGCATGTTTTATTGTAATCTGGTGCCCCAATGAAGTTTTTGCCCCCTCCCCCTTTCTTCTAACAAGTATCCTGCTTGAATTGTAAATGAAAGGTATTGATTCCCACCTTGAGAGTCTGAACCCCTTCTGCTAGGCTTGCTAGCTGAATGTTCTTTTGGGAGGACTGAAGTCACATTAGATTTGGGAAGGGGCAGGACGCTCACTGGGGTTGCTTGTCCTTCTAGCCATCAAATTACCACCGGTCTATAGTGTGCAGCCTAGGTGGGGTTCTGGGTGACTCTCTGGTGTGAATGTGTGTGCGCTGTGCAAAAGCTGAGAGCTAATTATAAAGAGCATTCAGTTCTGAGGACTTCACTTCCCCAGGAGGGTACTTGTGACTCAGCATGGAGGCTACAAACCGGAGGGCTGGTGACCATCCACCCCTTTCATTTCTGCACACACGTGCTGGCTGGGCTGCCCTGAGCCCAACAGTCAGCACAGTCCAGGTGGGGGACTCTGCTTCCCCGCAACCCCCCCTTACTTATACAAAAAATAAAAAATAAAGAAATAAAAAGTGCCAGTTCGGGCAACCAGGCTGTTGAAAAAAGTTGGTTTTTTAGTGGACCCACCTGACAACACTTAAAATGGGTCGTAAAAAACAAAGTCCCGCTGTGATTTTTCTCCCTCAAGCTTTCATGCCAGATGTAGACCACAATCTAAACTATCTGTTTTAGGTTCAGGGGCTGTTGATGAGGCCAGAAGGCGAGCAGGATTCAGGCCTGGGATGGGATGGCTTAGCATTTTGCCCCTTTGCTCCCCGAGCCTCAGCGCCAAGCTGAATCTGCTAGTGCAAAAAATTCCTGGCTGTCTTAAAAAAAAAAAAAAAGTGGTAACTCCTGGCCTTGCAATTATTCGGTTGAAAAATACTTCTCCGCTCCCCACCCCGCCCCAGTGGATGCAGCTCTTGTGGTTGCACAGCAGACTAAACTTTACTAGTGCTGCTCTGGGGCCGCTGTGGGGGCTGCCACCGTTCCCAGCGTTCGCACCAAGGTACGGGCGATGGGCGCCGCCGGTGGGACTGCTGGAGTGTCCGGGTTGCAGCTGCCGTCTGGGGTCGGGGCTGCGCTCACGGGGGTGAGCGGCGAGGGCGGGTGCCTTAGTGCGCCCCGCGGTGGAACGCGGTCCTCGCGCAGTCGGCCGGCAGGTGCCGGCTCTGCAGCCTCGGCCCTTGGCGCTTTCAGCGGTTGCCCGGCCGGCTCCGCGCGGTCCTAACGCGCTCCACATCCGGCACCCTCTACCCGGCTGGTGCGACCTGCGTTGCTGTGGAGACTCCAGACTCATTTCTGGGGGCCACGGGCGGTGGCTTTACACCTATGGCCGCATTTGGGTAACCAGGTTTTTTGGCCCAAGTTGAGCCCCTTCGTTTCTTTGTGTGTATGGTCTGCGGGGCTGACAGCCGCCGCCCCGCTGCGCGGTGGTTTTCGGGGTGGGAACCGCTGGAGGCGCGCGCCGCGGCGGGAGACTTGGTGCGGGGACTGAGGACCACCTGGATATCGGAACCTGACACCTAGTTCTGTCCCGGACCTTTCTTCCTCTATCGGAAGCTCACAGGCGGGGCTCCGAGGCGCCCGGGAGGTGGGTCGGGGCTCGGGCCCTGCAAGTCCGGAGCGCCGGGGAAGGATGGGGGGTGGGGGTGAGGCCAAACGCCGGGTGGAACGATGGCAAGCTATTGTTAACCGCTTCCCGGAGCCCAGCTTCTGGCCTGCGGTCCGCGGCCGGCTTTCCAGCGCTGGGTGGGCTGGCTTCTCAGCGCGGAGAGCCTAGGGCGCCGTGGGGTGGGGCAGGGCAGGGCCGGCCCGGTGGCATTGTGTGAACTGGGCGAGCCTGGTCTTTGAGGGACCCTCGGAACCCCCGTGCGGCACTACTGGGCCCGGCATAGAGAGATTATGGGATGTGCTAGTGGGGCTCCCCCACACCCCAATCTTATTATTATTTTAGTGTACTCACTTTTAGGGTAGGACGTTTGCTACATGCAGTTGAGTCATTAGAAATCCAGTAATTGCCACTGGGAGAGTAGGATGCAAGGGAGGTAAGGTGGGGACTACGAGGGTGGCGAGGACCCCAGAGGCGCGTTGTGGCGTTAGCGGACAAGGACTGCTGGTACAGCGGCTGAATAAAGACCATAAAATAACAAAGTAGTCCTCGGCACTCCTCCTGCTTCCCCCATCCTGCAGGTGACATCTCTACTGTTTAAATTCGCTGGGCACTGTTGGCCTGGTTCGCAGGGATATTGTATGTGGGGGGGGCGGGGTGTGGGGGGGCGAGGGGCTGGGAGCTATATAATCAGCGAGAGCCGGCGGAGGGGGAAGGGTGTGCCTGGCACTCTCTGTGGTGTTGCTCTCCGGGGCTTGGATGGAGTTGAGTGGGTCGCTGTGCGCAACGGGGGTGGGGAACAAGAGCTATATAAGTATTTCATCCGGGTGTAGTGAGAAAGGCTGTGGGGTTGACAGCAGTGCCGCGGTCTCCTGCCGCTGCCGCTGCGGCAGGTCCCAATATTAGCAACCTCTGCAGCTTGGTGAGCGAGCCTCCTGCCTCCTACTCTCGCTGCGCAGCCGCGCCCAGAAGAGAGCTGCGCGGGGTGGGCGGGGGCTGCGGCAGCGTGTCACACCAGGCACAGGGCTCCCACCTCTATGCTCCCTCTCTGGGGACGGCATTCTTTACCCTCAGTGTCTTCTCCCATTCTCTAGGAAAGAGCATTCAGTGGGGCAGGGATGGGCTGGTTATACCTTGATATATATAAAAGATGCATCTTCCACCTGGAATGAACCACCAGGAGGAAAGTGACCTCTCTTCCCCACCCGCAGGTGACTGCGGCTTTGGGGGAGCCTGGCGTTGACCCAGCAGGCAGTGGGGGCGGGGAGAGTTGCAGCGGTGACAGCTTAGGTGGGACCTTGAGAGGGCCCTGTGCTTTTTCCCTTTGGGGGCGGTGGTGCAGAGATAAGGAATTGGGAATTGTGTCTCTGGGGTACAGGCTAGGGGAGCCAGATGTTTCATTTCCTGTTTTTTTCCTCTCTTTAAAGCACTTACTAGGCAGAAAAAAGTGAACAGAATATCAATTGAGAAAATGGTCATGTAGAAGAATAAAAAAGTGAGTGTTGGGCCTGATCTTCTATTTTACTTGCACAGGGAAGAAAGCCTGAGCAGTTGACCCTGGCCTTCGTGGACAGATGGCCTGCTTCTTTTGACTGTGCCTTGTGGCCTGGTGTGGTGGCCCTGCAAGAACCCCAAATGAGCACCCTAACTGGGGCTGCACTTTAAAGGGGCCAGGAGTCAGGTGGAAGTTGTACTAAAGGGGAGAAACAGGGTAAGATGAGTTTTTAAAAAAAGAGGTTAAAGCAATCTCATTAAAAATACTTCACTAAGGGAAAGACTGCCTATTTAAGAAACTGTTTAGGACTGGTCCAGATTCTTGAAAAATTGGTGGAGTTATAACTGCCATTTAGGTAGTCATTTCTTTTTTAAAAAATATATTTTTATTGATTTTAGAGAGGAAGGGAGAGGGAGAGGTAGAAACATCAATGATGAGAGAATCATTGATTGGCTGCCTCCTGCATGCTCCCTACTATGCCTGGAGTTTGCAACCCCAGGCATGTGCCCTGACAGGGGTATTGAATTGTGATCTCCTGGTTCATAGGTCAATGCTCAACCATTGAGCTGGGCTCAAGTAGTCATTTCTTAAGTAACTCTGAGATTTGCTCAAGTTGCTGCTGACTAGACTTTCTGAGATGCAAGCCCTGATATAAATGACTGGGTGGCCCTCATATGGGGTTGCTGGCTGAGCAGGGAACTCGCTGTAGTAGGGAGGTTAATCTGTTTTCAGAGCCTCATGTCATGCCTCTCTCCAAAGCCTGCATACATTCTTGTCCTCTGAAGAATGCAGCTCTGTTAAGTATTGGGGGCTTTTAGACTAGAGGGCTGTTTAACATAGGCCAGAGTAGAGCAGCCTCTGTCCACCATAACACTTTCCAGGGTTGGCCTTGTTATGGCGTTGGAGGTGAGGCACAATATAGGGGGCTCTTGGGAGCTAGGCCACCTTTGTGTTAATTGTCCTTTTGAACAGAGCTCTGGGCCTGATCAGTTACCTTCTTAGTCTGGAGTGAGGATGAAGTTTTGGTGTGGTCTTTTTTTCTAAAGTAGTCCCTGGAACTGACCTTGCCTCTTGTGGACCAGGGGTGACCTCGGACAGCATAAGACCCTCTGGAACCCAGTGAGCTCATCCTCATTGGGAGCTGTTGGTTGCTGTGAAAGGGAATGCCAAATGAAACTAGCCATGACCCTGTGTTTCCCATGTACCTCCATCAATATCCATTACTTGAGGATGTCTAGGGTGTGTCTGTTAAAGAAGAGAGATAGGCCACCATAGTGCACACATGATGGCAGTTTTTAAGTGCAATCTCACTCTTCCCTCCCTCCCTCCCTTTCTTCTTCTTTTCCTTGCTCTTTTTTTTCCTCCTCTCCCGTTGATCATTAAGCATTTAAATGTTCCTACACAGAAGCCTTCTCCTGGGCCTCCTTTGTGCTGAACATCTGTATAAACAAATAATGGAGAGTGGGCCTT